GGGTTTAGGGGTCGAGGGATTTAGGGTTTAGGGGTTTAGGGTTTAGGGTTTAGGGGTTACTGTAGGGTTCAGGGTCTAGGGACCTTCGAACCTTCATCCATCGTGCCAAACCACCATAAAACACCACAAAACTCTTGCATCCCTGGAGAACCCTGTATACCACCCTACCTAACCCTTCTAACCAGTAGAAAAAGCACCGAAAAACCTTGGGTAGTTTGGCACAGTGGTGTCATCTTAAGGAAACATAGGCCGCAGAACCCTTAACGAAGCTCTCTTCATCGACCTGTCGAGTCTCCATTGCAGACCTCTATACTAGGGTTTAGGGTTTAGGGTTTAGGGTTTAGGGTTTAGGGTTTAGGGTTTAGGGTTTAGGGTTTAGGGTTTAGGGTTTAGGGACAACCTCAACCTCCAACGGCTCAGCACGCGACCCACTAAGCTTTGGAAGCGCAGTTGGCCGCAACTTGTATGGCAAACCTCGCCCGCAGAGCAGGGTTGATGATTTAGGCTTGGGTTTAAGGGTTTGAGGTTTGGGCTTAGGGTTTACGGATAGTCCTGACGGCGTTGAAGGGGTTTTTGGAGGACTGTTGGTATGGCATATAAGCCAAGGTGTTACCGATAGGGACGTTTTCCCCAGCTTGTAAACGACAACTTCGCCGTTGCGGCGTGCGGATATGAGGTGCAACAGGCCAAGATTGGAGGAGTTTCCAAGCACGTCTGCCACTCGAGGGCTAAGAAGCTGCATGAACTTCTGGCACCGGAGCAACCACCCTAAACCCTAAACCCTAAACCCTACACCCTAAACCCTAAACCCTAAACCCTAAACCAGTGCCCAACTTGCTGGCGAAGATCCATCGGCTCAGCTCCCTGCTCTTCCACCTCTTCTTCCTTCACCCTCACCTGGGACCAGATCTCCTCGGAACCGGCTGCTTCCTTTTCAAGGCCATTGTGTCGGCACACAACACTGCCAGGTCTGCTAAAGTCAGGCAACGAAGGTGCTGGTGAATGGTTGGAGCCCCGGTGTCGACCCTGAATCCCAAGCCTTCGAAAGAACCGATCGCCATGCCATGAGACCCTAAACTCCAAACCTTGCTGAAAGGATCGGGCGATGGTGGTAAACCCTTCATCCCCTACCTGCGTATCCAAAATCCTATCTTGAGGGCTTACATCGCCTTACGATAGACTAGCCCCACCCTGAACTGCAAACTCCCAAGCCCTGAACACAAACCCTTAAACCCAAACCCCAAAACCCAAAACTGCCAAACACCCTAAACCCTAAACCCTAAAACCCTAAACCCAAACCCCAAATCGAAAACCCTAAAACCCTAAACCCTAAACCCAAAGACCTGCCCTGAATCCTAAATCTTACATCCTAAGGCCCTTCTAGAACCCTCAAAAAGGAGCCCTTTTAGGGTTTAAGGTTTAAGGTTTAACCCTTAACCCAAATCCGGTCCTAAATCTTGCATCCAAAATCAACCCTTAAAGAAACCCGCATAGGAAGCCTTAAAGGAACCTCCAATGGAACCACCCTCGGGGCGGCCCCGAAGGAACCCTTAGCCCTAAACCCTAAACCTCAAACCCTAAACCCTAAACCCTTCAAGGAACTCTTATCCCGCAACGGAACCCTTAACCCAAAACCCTCGTAGAATCCTTAGAGGAACCCTTAGCCCGAAACCCCAAACCCTAAACCCCAAACCCTAAACCCTTATCCTTAAACACCAAACCCTAAACCCTTGTCCCTAAACCCTTATCCTTACACACTAAACCCTAAACCCTTCTCCCTAAACCCTTATCCTTAAGCACTAGACCCTAAACCCTTATCCCTAAACCCTTATCCTTAAGCACTAAACCCTAAACCCTTATCCCTAAACCCTAAACCTTAAACCCTGAACCCAAGTGGCTCTCGGTCTTCGAGAAGATGTTCACAGCCAGCTCTGCCATGGCCACCTGAACTGTTTTTTGGGGGTTTAGGGTTTAGGGTTTAGGGTTTAGGGTTTAGGGTTTAGGGCTTCGGGTTTAGGCTTAGGGTTTTCGGGCTTAGGCGTTTGAGTTTCGGCTTGAGGGTTCAGGGTCATCCTTCGAACGGGGTTTAGGATGTTGGATTTAGGTTTGGGGTTTGGGGTTTAGGGTTCAAGGCTTTGGGTTTGGGGTTTAGGGTTACCCAGACCTTCCAACATCCCTCCCGCAAAGATATAAACCTTACATCATATTGGGGATCCTACTACAATAGAAGCCGAAAAGTTGGAAACACGAAAGCCTCAATCCCTAAGAGTAATGTAAAGGGAACCTCAGCACTATTTGTGCTTTATCCGGTTTCCAACTTTTTCGGGTTTACTGTATGATATTTTCCTGAATTGAGGGATATCGGAAGGCCTGGGCAACCATCTGAATAAGCTTGAACTGAAACGGTTCCTTTTCAGGGTTTGCAAAAACGGTCTGGGGGCGCGATAAGTAGAATAGAAACTCCATACCCGAAACCCTAGACTCTAGATCCTAAACCCTGAACCCTAGACCCTAAACCCAAAAATATATCTATAAGGCTCCGTTCATATATTCAAGGTTTCGGGATCACGGTCTGAGGGCCGGGAGATGCCATAGTAGAGCCCTTAATCACTACAAAAAGGCTCCTTCAAAAAGGGTTCCTTGGTCAAGGGCTTGGGGTCTATAGGGTTTAGGGCTTCGGGTTTAGGATCTAAGGTTTTGGGTTCAGGGTTATAGTAAGGTTTTAGTATACGGGTTCTAGTAAAGGGGGCTCTAATGATTCTGATTAAGGCTTTTGGGGTCGATTTGGGGCTTACCTGGGCCCTACATGAACTTGCCTTTGTAAAGACATATATATATATATATATATGGAACTCATAGTAAAGTACCCTAAAAATCTCGGTTCCTAGGGCCCAGGTCGAGTTTAGAGCATATGGTGAACCCCGAAGTTGGAAACCGGATTAAGGTCAATTCATGCTAGGATTCCCTATGCATTACTTTCCAGGGTTGGGCTTCCAACTTTGGGCCCCCAAACCCTAAACCCTAAACCCTAAACTCTAAACCCGAAACCTGAAACCCTCAACCCTATAAACTCTAAACCCGAAACCCTAAACCCCAAACTCTAAACCCCAAGCCCTAAACACTAAACCCGTAGAAGGACAGAGCTCGAAGAGCCCCACCATCCTCCGGGAAGGGGGGGGGGATTTCTGAGATGTCACCGGGGGCTTTAGAGGCTTCGTTCCGCTTGTTTTTGTTGAATTCGTTGGGGTGGGTTAGGTGGTTAGGGTGTCTTTTCAGGGTTTTTGTTATTGCTCTGCTGGGGTGCGTTAGGTTTCTCTTTTTTGCTTTGTTGGGGTGGGTTAGGGCAAGTTTTTGAGGACCTTCTGCCGCCTATCTAGCAAGTAGAGAGCCCTAGAGGTTAGGGTTTAGGGCTTAGGGTTGTGCATGGGGTTTCTGGGTTTAGGAGGTTTCTAGAGCTGTACAAACTTTGTATTTGCCATTACAGGATTATGTCCCGTTAGTTGAATGATCTTATGCATGAATATATATCTGTTTTTTGTATACATGTCGTTATACTTGTCTATTTATATTTATATAAATGTATACACCTGACATTAGACCGGTTTTAGGGCTTGAAGGTCATGGGTTGGGTTTGGAGTTCAGGATTATTGGATACCCGGCTCCTGTTCTAGAGAGCTTCGGGAAGCGTGGGGGCTTGTAGGATGCTGCCCTAAACCGTAAACACTAAACCCTAAACCCTAAACCCTACAAACCCTAATCCCTAAACCCTAAAAACCCCAGGCTCAAAGCCCTCAAATATCTGCGTCCCTGGCCGTGGGCCCATCGGCGTAGGCCCGCTCCGCCTTGAGATCCCAATCGAGCACTGCCTGCAAGAGCAGGGTTTAGGGTTTCGGGTTTAAAGTTTAGGGTTTAGGGTTTAGGGTTGTGGTTTAGGGTTCAGGGTTTACGGGTTTGGACCCTGCTTATAGGCAAAACTCTGGGCTGTCTATGAAAACGTACATGGATACTGTACTCTTCTATATTGGGATCCCTTCTGGTGTCCTTTTTAAAAGGGTGCCCTACTATACTGGGGACTTAAAAAGTGACCCTAATATAGAGAACTACCCATATAATACTGTATATAATTCCTCTAAAAAATGTGGTGCTTCAATGTACTGCATGATCCTGTGCTCACCCGAACAACCCTCATCCACGTACTCATGACACGGGCTGCCTTCCTTCTACATTATCCACAATCGAATAACTCAACTGGTTGATCATCAACCACAGTCAACATCAGGCTGCAGCCAATATCATTGACATCATGAGAATCACAAGCACGGCGGCATCACGCTCGCCATCAGCAGCGGCAGCATCCTTTCCCTCATCCTTGCCTTCATCCGCAGCATCGCCCATGATTCAAATGATTGCTGCAGGTATCATTATGCATCAGCCTGCGCCCTTATGGCGAGGGTTTGTTTCCAAGCCGGTGCTGGCCCGACCGCGCCTTCTTGAACAGCAGGCTTTGCAGCATGAGCGCGATGATCTGGCATGACATGGGTTTAGGGGTTAGGGCATGGCCGGGCCTTAGGGTTTCGCGTGGCATGGACATCTCGCCCAAAAGTCTGCGGCTCCTGAAGCCCGAAATCCCAAACCCCAAAACCCCGTAAACGAAACGCATAGCCCCAAACCCTTGAAACCCTAAACTCCAGCCCCGAAGCCCTAACTCCTACAATCGGAGATTCATAGTACTACTGCTGCTGCTGTTGCTACGTCTGCTTCTGCTTCTGCTTCTACTACTACTACTACTAC